AAACCCAATTCCATCTCTCTCTCTAAAAACTCCATACTCTCTCACACACATAAAGGTATGCTTGTGTTACGAGTTCAAGCTAAACCCCTTGGCTGGTAAACTCACAGAGAAGCGAAGAGAGAGAGATGGAGTTTTAGAGAGAGAGAAAGAGGGAGTTTGAATATGGTGTCATTTTAGTGTTTGTTTGGATAAAAAATTTATGGTCAGGGGTCCGGGGTATTGTAAGATAGAAAAGATGGAGACCTTTTGTTTATAAGTAATATTTTCAATTCTTGAGTCTCATAAGATATATAAGTTAAAAATAGAGGATAATGAGATATTTTCTTATTTAAAAATATAATCAAACACTTCACAAGCATATAATCCAATCACATAAAAGCTATAAACATATATCTACATAAAAGGGATCCTCAAAATTTAGAATCAAATGTCCAATCTATCATCCATCATTTCATATTTTGTACTATTAAATTTTTTTTATAACAAAACGAGCGAATAGAAAGTTCTTTAACTAGGGTTTGTAGAGAATAAGTAAATTCAGGCCTTTAGAATATAAAAAATAGTTATATATCTTAGTGAAAATTTTAGAACATGAAGATATTAATAGCAATGTAGAGAGATAAAGTTAATGATAAAGTTACATGAAATTAGGATCAGCAGTGGCTTGTTTTGGGGTAACCTTGCAAGGCGTTTGGGTGCTTCCTTGAGACCAAGACGTATCTGAAATTTGTGAAGAGAGAGAGAGAGGAATTATAGCTAATGAGAGAGAGATAATAGCACTATAGCTTTCTGTCTCAACCCATATCTCTTTTTAAGCCTCAAAATTCCAATGGGTGAATATTTTGAGGAATGAAATTTCTTTTTCCTTATTAACACTTCACAAAAAAGATATATGCAAAATACATTATAATAAGGATAGAGGTATTTTGGTCATAAAAAAATATTTTAGGAAAAAAAAAATGTGGAGAAAAAAAACTCATGCCAACCAGTACCCATGCATCCTCTCTTCTAATCATATTCTTATTTTGAGTTTGAGTGTTTGCTTCATGTTACCACAAACATTTGTCAAAATGATACCTGAGCACAACTTTATTGGCCTAACCCACTCCATCATAGTCAACATAACTTTTTCTTTATGGATTGTGCCTCTGCCACTTTATTCTTAAAGGTTCTTCTATTTCTTTCTTGGTTCTATAATATTGCTACCATAAATATTATCTAAAAGTTGTAATTCCATAGCTCAAATAGCTGGCTAATAGAGCTTGAAGGGGCTCACTGTACATTAGCCAACTTGAAATGCAAACAGCATAAGTTTGAGGCCAACCCACACCGCAAGAACCACATGATCGATACCGTCGCTATCTTCCTTGCACATCAAAAAAAATGTTAATATTCATCCCTCTTCTCTAAATTCCATCAGCACGAGCAATTTTACCTATAGAAAAAGCCACACAAATTCCTGGAACTTGTAAGGAACCAGGATTTCTAGGTCTTTGAGATTACACCACTGGGTCTATCGAAAGTTAGGACTTTATATGCTGCTTTAACTGAGAAGCTTTCGGCCTCATTGTGTTCCCACATCTGTTTGTCAGATTTTAGATGGGGGTAATACATGAGTTGGAGAGTAGCATCGGGCCAGCATACAGCTCGACGAAAGCATCACTCACCCTTATCTTAAGTTACAAAATAATCGGTTCGCTCACTCTTATTTTAAGTTACAAAATAATCTGTCTCCATTAGTGGTGGTCTTTTTTTTTTTTTTGTAAGTAACTCTATTACTACTTGGTCAAAAAAGCATTATTCATGCGGTTTTTTTATTGAGCTTCGAATAAAAGGTGCAGATGGCATACAGATGCATCTGTAACGGTAAAGGTACGGTGCACTAAATTTTATCATGGTGTATAATTTTGATGTAAAATATTTTTAAGATTATTTCAAAATTTATTTTCATATTTAATTATAAAATTTTAAATTTTAAATATAGTTAAAATCAAGTAGATCTATAAAACATATCAAAATCTTGACAATGGATGGTGTAGATATCAAAATCTTGACAATGGATGGTGTAGATATTATGTTGTAAAATGTATTATTTTTAAAACTTAAAATCTTTTTATTTTTCATAGTCGTACATATGGACGTAGAGATGATCAATCAAATGGTTTTTTCAAAATTAAAAGTACCTTTTCCCAGGATTTTTGAGGGACATCAGTGATTCTGGTTGCATCCTTAGATAAACTTTTTCCTTGAATAAACCTTCCCTGCAGTTTGTACAAAAAAAAAAAAAAAAAACAATCATTCATATATGGTGAGTTGGCATGTTGCATCCGTAGCTGTAGAAGTAAGGTCCACCTTCAAATTTGGAAGCAATGGCTCTCATGGCCGTCCAAGGTCTGTCACGCATCCCCAATCCTGCAAATCTGAACCTCCTTCCCTCACCCACCGATCCCTTCTCTGTGAGACCATTGCAAAGACGTAAGTAAACACTGTGAACCCCTCTTCATGGCACCTTTGTCTTTCTTCTAATTCATGGCCTGAAACTGAATGAATGTCGTTGCCTAGTTTAAGAACTGATTGTATTTGATATAAGGATTGTTGATCAGCCCATTTCCTTATTCTTGAAAAATTTTCCGTTTACTTGAATGGATGAGAAAAATTTTCCGTTTACTTGCATAGATGAGAGCTCGTTGTTTCTTGGGCAATAATGGCGAGAACCATCTAGTGTTCCAGAATGATTGTGGGAAGAGAACACAATGCAAATGAATGTATCTTGAAAGAGTTCGAGAGTGAAAGAAAACAACCCCGAAAGATCTTGCGAGAGAAATAGAAAGCCCACACTTCATCTTGCATGTCTAGTTGTTTCTTTCTGCCCATTTCAATTGTCTTTTGCAATATTTTTTGTTGAAATATTTAGTTTGGGTGGCTGGGGAGTGCAGAGGATAAGCCATTCGTTTATGTCTGTGTGTTGAAATTTTGCTCTTGTTCTATTTGTGGAAGTCAGAACTGTTATTTATTGGATGCTTGTATAATTTAATTTTTTTTCCTGGATTTATAATGCTTTTGGGTGGGATATTATCTCCTTGATTCCCTCCAAGTTGAGGATTTCCATGGGTTTATGGTTACCTTTTGAAATTGCAGTGATTGAAGGGTTTGGAAATTTGTCTCTAAAAAAAATCAGGGTTTGAAATCATTAAATGTCATTTTATATGAAAAGGGAACTTAGGTTTCTGTGGATTGTACTATTTCTACTTTATGGCCTTACATTTCTTTATTCAGTTTTAGGTTTTATTTTGTGTGTAAATGGTGGAAATTCAGTGGAAATTGAAGACTTTTCATGACAATCTAAATAGAAAATTCAAAACATATGACAAGGTGTATGAGGAAACAGCTTCAAATTCAGTTTTAGGTTTTATTTTTACTTGCATTCTACAGGATGTTTATGGCAACCATTGAAAATAGAAGCTAGAGGGAATACTCGCACAGAAAATCATAAAGTAAGGAATCGGAGGATGCAAAAGAAGGTAAACTTGTATATTATTCTTGTTTGAATAAACAACTTTCCTACTTTGCTGGGATTTAAAATGCTTTGCATGCATTTTCTTTTTCACAAAATTCCTTTGTGAAACTTGCCTCTTGTTTAGATTGTATCTGCTCATGTCCTAGTGGGATAAATACATAAATTTCATATTAACATTTCTCTAATTTAACTCCTTTTATTTCCAAATAGTTCATTGGCTCAGCTCATAAACCAAGGCTCTCTGTTTTCTGTTCTGAAAAGCAACTGTATGCTCTACTTGTTGATGATCAAAACAAGAAGTGTTTATTTTATGGAAGTACTACACAGAAATCTATCCGTGGGATCCCATCTTGCAGTACCAAAGTAAGTACATTTCCATCTCATCATAACTTCTAAGAAATTCTGAATACTATGTATTTTAGAAAAGAGTTTCTCTTAATTTATTTGAGATTCTGATATTTAATACTTTAACACTTCAAATCATTTATTAAAGAGGCGAACTTGGGTAGTTACTCGCTAGGATCCCTATCACAAGAAACCTGGTCCGACTCTGGTGAGTCTGAGTCGGACTGGGGTAGTTATAACTCTTCTGTTCATTGTTCTTTGTTTTGCTTAAAACCTGAGACCTGTGGTTCCTGAGTTTTTCAGCCTGGAATCGCTTGGCCCCCGATTCTGTCCATCTGGTATGATTCCCAAGACAGGCCAATGATTTTTTAATTACTGCTTCAAATGAAAATGGGTTTCATGGCAATGTAATTATTCAAAAATTTCATGTCGACATGTATAGTTATGTAAATGTCATCTTTGTTTCCCATGATTATCCCTATTCATAAGTATCTTCATGTATTATTTCTTCCTTTGTGTTTTGGTAATCAGCTATTTGATCTTTCAGTGTGATAGGTTTGGGAAGCAAATGTCTTATGTATGCTCGCACATGTGTGCATATGTATATATGTTTGAGTACATGTATTTATTTGCATATTGATATTCTTTCTGTTGTCACTATATTTTGGTGTAGTTATTCTACAGATATAACTATGTGAGATTCGTTATAAAGTTTTAGCAATTTTATTTATTTTCTCCTGATAGTAATATGTCATCAACTGTAATATTTAAATACAAGGTAAAAAAAGGGGAAGTAGCAGAGCAGAAACTAAACACTGCTGGCCTCTAAATCTTGGATAAAGGAGCTAAGGAAACCCTACTCACAGCATGAAACTCAAATTTTAAATTTTCCCATGATGTTCCTGCATTAGTCAATATGCCTTTCACCGTGTCAATCTCCCTATGTACATAGTTAACTTTGATTATGGTAATTAAGGAAAGCTCCAAAATTATGACAGGGATATTTGTTATGGAGGCAGCTTAGCCCAGAAATCCTGGCCATTATATTGGGCCAGCCTATCAGCCATATAATTGATGCATACTAAGATCATTTATAGGGTAATTCAATTTCTATATTTCACCAAATATGATAGAATATTTGGAGAAATCGTACTTGAGACATCTTGCAGTTTTGAGTGAATGACTACTGACAATGGCAAGATACATAAACCCTTATGAATACTGACAATGGCAAGATACATAAACCCTTATGACTACTGACAATGGCAAGATACATAAACCCTTATGACTATTCATACCTCTAACAATTTGTTCAGTTCCGCCCCAAGATCAGTCCACAAGCCAACAAGAGAATCCCAAGCGGTTTGGCAAAAGGTATGAAACTATATCTCTTAGGTTTCACAATGGAGAATGCTCTGTTACATGTCTAAAGCTGCTGGATTTGGAGTTGCTAAGGATATCTTGCACAGAGCACCAATCTGCCGTGGCCTTTTTTAGGATGTAATCCCCCAATGACCTTCTGTTTTCTTCTGTGTATTTGCATTGTCTTAAGCACGGCATGTGCTGATGTGCAAGTTAAATATACAACCTCGAAGGATTTGCATGAGACGTTATAACATCTCCCTTCCTATCTCTTACGATTACCTAAAATAGCATAGTGGTAAGCCACCATTTAGAATATGTAGAAATCGATATAGTAACATATAAACTGGTGCTAAAATAATGGGGCCAACAAGATATTTCATTAATTGATGTGCTGAAACCTGGAGTCTTAATGGCTTTAGAGGAAGTGTTCACGTATGGGAAGTGGCTTCCCACTGATGAAAGGATGCATAAGTTGGCTTAGTCATTTTATGACAATTAGGTGACCTAGCGACAAGCTGGTTCAACCCATCTTGATCCATTTCTCTCCCCATTTCCTGGACTGAATGGATCGAGTACAGATTGGTGGATCCATACCTGTCCAGGTTTGAGTTGGAGTCATTGTCTTGGTTAATCCAAAGTGATCAAAAGATGCCAGGTATGGAGTGACTAAGGTGACAATTGCCACTCAAGAACTGCTCGTAGTGTTATCCAGACACTCCAGCCATGGATCGGTGCTGCTTGTCCACAAGTGTCAGCATTCACACGGTGTAATACGAATCATATATTGCGCAGGCTTCGGTTTGAACTCAGTACCGATTGACTATTATACAAAATCTGTGTGTTGTACTGCTTTTCTAAGTGCTTCTTTTGTGTCATAAATATGAGAATTTTGTTTTATACTTGCAAATTATATTGTTTTATTTTAATAATTGTACAAACATGTCTTTCCATATCAGCTTTTTAGGTTGAAGTACTAGACACCTTTGACATGTGTTGGCCATCTATCCTCCTGTCCGTGCCCATGTGACACTGGTTGTTGTTAACTGGCTCTATAAAGTAACCCATGTAGAAAAGCCGAGCAACTTCTGACCTCTCCCAATTAGCTTGTCGAGATTTCTTGTATTAGGTAAACATAAAAAATAAATAGAACCATGCAATTTTGATAATTTAACTACCAGGCAAATAGCAAATCATGGTTAATTGAGGAACAAATAATGCCTTGAACTTTTATACAGAGCAGTATCAACCCAACCTACTTTGGCAGTATTGACTCTAGAGCCATTGACATCGTAAAAAGATTGATTTCCTTCAAATGGAACTGAATAGGGCAATAATTTTACATTCCCACTCAAATGATTGACAATACTAAGTCAAGATGCCGAAACAGACTGACAAGAAGTGGATAATGAATCAGGTGTAATTGATAAAGAACTGAAGGGTGCATAGAGAACCTCTTGAAGGTTCACACTTGAGAATATGCAACAATGAGTGCGTTCTGTTGCTCCAACTAATATAGACCAACTTCCAAAAGTTTTTAGAAGTTTTAAGAACTCCTATCATGCTTACAGTAGCTAAAAGAAAAACAATTCAGCAGCCAAAACCCTGAAAAAATGCTATTTAGGTGCGGATCTGAGAAATTGAACAAAAAACTCATCAAACTCTAAATTTGCATAGTGTCTAAGATGCCCTATAGGATATATAGATAGGGGACAGGTGTGGAAAGCAGGGATCTCACCCTACAGTTTTCAAAATCCAGAAATATGCATATGATATGGATATGGGTATCCTCTTCTCATACAATGATGAATATATTGTATGATACATAAATATATGCTTCCAAGAGATGTTGCATATATATGGTACATCGTTTTATATGTACTCGTATCCTAGGAGGATCCGGCATTAACTTCGTAATCTACATTGTGCGCTACCTTTACATTGTGCATATACAACTATTTGTGCATGGCATAGAATCCCATGGTCTTGCTCAATGCTTCAAGATTTTGCGTGTTTGACTTGAACTTGGGAGAGTAACTCAGACCTGGCAGGTGCTAGTTCCAAGCAAAAAACCTTGGGGACGGGCTCTCACTGTTTCCCAAGATTTCTTTGTTATTTTTTGAAGATTCGGGGTATAAGCCCAACTCACTGGCTTGGACCCCATTCCTGTCTGGTTCTAGGGCCAAGTCTGAGTTTAAATGCATTGATCTTGCTTGTAGAGCCTCTAGTACTTGTATTGTTGAACCCGGAATGGTGCAAGGAACAAGAAGAGCCTATGTCTTTATGTAGGATTTCAGACTATTGACACATGGATCACCTAAAAATTAGGGTGTCTGCAGAGAAATAGATATAACTTATTCAATACAATAACTGATTGGCTCCAAACCAGAGTCACTAGAAAGCTTAAACAGAAGGGTTTCATTAAATGGGAAAATCATGTCTGGTAGTACAATTTGTATGGTACGAAAAAAATGCATCAAATAATACTTTTTTGGTTAAAAATTTTATTTTCTGATATATGTCGGCATTGTGGACATTCCTACTAAGTTTTGTTGAATTATGAGGAATCGCCACATAATGGTTCCAACTCTAGGTTCCAGACCTGGACATGAGATTGTTGTTTTAATGCTGTAGATGGATTACCCAAATTATTGATTCTTAAATGTATATTTGATTAATTTCTGCTACAGATTTACTATAATAGACTGATTAGGGCTTTGGATATCTAATGTTTCAAGCCTAGTCTTAATCCATGTCAGAATCAGAGAGTCTCGTGTAGACGTCTCATTAACTGGTTGAATAAAATACAATGAAAGGGTTTGCCTTTATATACAGAGTGTCTGAGGTACAAAAGACTAGAATACCTTGATAGAAGTTGCTAGGCAGAAATACATCCAATATCTGTACATATACATGTGCACATGTGTCATTAGGCTGGACAACCAAATAGGGCATCATGATGACCATTTACACCAATCTTTTGGATTTAATTTGGAATATATCTTTCAACCATCACATTTAATTCATTATTCTTGGTTTGGTTTACCAGTCAATTCGGTGCATCATAACAGCCGTTGCTCATGAAGGGAATGTATCTTCACTAGTCATTTTGGTTTGGTAGTCACCTGAACGAGTCATAACTCCAAAATATTGTTTTGCTCCACAATCCAAAAAAAAAAATGGAGTGCATGTCCACATGAATCATTTCTAGACATTCTAAATTTTGAGTTAACTAATACTAAAAACTTAGACACGTGGTTGTGGTCCATCGACAATCAATGGAAGTGTGTCGTTGAATGGTGATTTCAAAATAATAATGTTTCTTTGGAAGCTTTGGCAATGCACAATCTGAATGGAAGAGTAATTTTGATAGGCATTTAATGAGTGTGCATTGTTGGTTCTCAAAGAAAATCAACAGAAGCATTGCGTCATTCTTGACCATTACTCTATGGGGCCATTTGGATACCTGGATACTCTCTCTTTCTCTAACTTGCTCGCAAGGCTTGCAACCCTAGCTCTCTCCCCAAGAGTCTCCAACCGCTCAAAGCTTTCTGCACTCTCTCCTTCACACTCCCTTCCACACAAAAAACTACCGTCCTTTTTTATGTATGTTCCCTTTGTTTTTTTCTTTTTTTTTTTTGGTGTTTCTATTCTTCTCTCTATAATCGTATATTGTGCTGATTTTTATTCTGGTGGGGGTTTCTGCTCAAAGTATGTCGTGGAGAATTTGTGCCTGCTCAAAAGTCTGTATTCTCGTTAATTTGTGCTGCATATGTCTGGTTTAAGATGTGTTAAGTGTTGCATTAGTTTTGTATAAATCAAAGTTGATTATTTCCTGTTAGATTTTCTTGGACATGAAAATGATCTGCAAGAAGCATAACTTGTGTCTTAATTTGTAATGAGCTTGTGTCTTAACAATATGAAAGAATGATGATCCTCATCCGAGTAATAGTGCCTTAACTGATTCACCCTTTGAGATATTTCCAAGAAATTGAGGATAATCGAAATTTTAGGAGCTAAAAGTGCAACTACAGATAATATTGGAAAGGAATATGAAGAATTTCTCAGTATTCCAAGGAATCTTCCCAAAATAAGAAAACCAGATACAACTTGCAGGCTTGGAGAAAATCAAAATATCGAATCTAAGAGACATCATAGGTGATTGCTTTGATTGTTTGAGAAAGCATGCGTATTTGTGAGTTCATGTTGCATACTGATGCATTTTTCTCATGTGCATGTGATTATGTAAAATTTGATTTATTGTATATGTGTGTGTGTGTGTGTGTGAGAGAGAGAGAGAGAGAGAGAGAGAGAGAGAGAGAGAGTACTCGTATATATAGTACTAACTTAACTTACTTCGTCTCTCTACTTTAGTTAGTTAAGTTAACGGTAACTACTACTTCGTTACGTTGTTCTACTAATTAATTAAG